AGTATTTCACAATTTGACAGGTTATGACTCTCATTTTATCGTAACAGAAATCGCTACTAATCTAGATGTCGAAGGAAAAATTCCTGTTCTAGCAGAGAATAAAGAGCGTTATATAATTTTTACAAAACATGTTCAGGGTTATTCATTAATTAACGTATTATTGATTTGTTTATTTTTATACCTTCATCTCTAGAAAGAAATTAGCATCATATTTACCTAAGCTAGATATTGTTATTAGATGTAGATCTAGTGTATCCGAAAGAGTTATATGACGAACATAAGGATCTTCCTCTTTGTTCTGAGCATCGTGAACCACCTAGTTCGATTCAGAAAAAACTTTTTCAGACAAAACTACGCTTTATGAGAAAGAGCGATATGTTATTCATTATAGAGCGTTAACACAGGCTATAAAGTTGAGACTAAAACTTAAAAAGATTCATAGTGCGCTAAAATTTAATAAGAAACCTATACTTAATCCTTATGTGGATTTGAATACAGAAAAAAAGCAAGCTACAAACGAGTTTTAAAAATTATTTTATAAGCTAATGGTTAACGCTGTTTATGGGAAGACAATTGAAGGCGACAGAAAACGAAAAAATGTTAAATTAGTTTATCAATGGCTTGGTCATTATGGTGCAGAAGCGCGGATTGCCCCACCTAATTTTTATAGTAGCTCTATTTTTGACGAAAATATAGTTGCAATACAACTATCTTGGACCACTATTCACACTAGAAAACCCTTTTACATTGGTCTTTGTGTGCCTGACCTGTAAAAAACATGTGTCTATGAGTTTCACTGTAGATTATGAAGCATAGAATCATTGAAAAATATTAGTTTCCTTATACTGACACTACAGTCTGACATATGAAATTCAAGACATTGGCATGTAAAGCAATATATGTAAGTACATCATGTATGTATGTACGAGGTGTGATCAAAAAGTAAGGTGAATTTTGAAATTTAGCGGGCTACGTCCGTTCGATCTTCGACTTTTTTATTTGGTTATGTCGGTACACTCGTCTAGAACATACGTTCCAAATTTCAGCTTTGTAGTATGTTTGGTTTGTTTGTGAAAGGCATCAAGGTTAGAAGTGTTTTGCGTGCTCCACGATTTGCTGCTGTCTAAAAACATGGATCAAAGAGTTTGCATTAAATTTTGTGTGAAAAATGGAATCAAATGTTCCAAAACACTTGAAATGCTGAAAGTGGCATACGGTGAGTCTACTTTAAGCCAAAAAAATGTTTACAAGTGGTATAAACTCTTCCAAGAAGGCCGAGAAGACACCGACGACGAACCTCGTTCTAGACGCCCCAGCACATCAACAACTGATGAGAATGTTGAAGAAGTGAAGAAAATAGTGTTGGGAAATCGTCGAATTACCATTAGAGAAATTGCTGATGATATTGGCATCTCATTTGGTTCGTGCCAATCAATTTTGACGAGTGTTTTAGACATGAGACGTGTGTCAGCGAAGTTTGTTCCGAAATTGCTCAATTTCGACCAAAAGAAACGTCGCATGAGCATCGCCCAAGAGCTACTGAATGACGTCAACGATGATCCAGATTTTCTCAACAGGGTTATAACAGGTGACGAAACATGGGTATACGGTTATGACGTCGAGACTAAGACTCAATCAAGATGCACCCAAAAGATGCGCATAAAACGGCTTTCAGTACTCCTTTCGGTCACTATGAGTTTGTGCGTATGCCATTCGGATTAAAGAATGCACCCGCGACTTTTCAACGTTTAATGGATACGTTGCTCCGCGGACTTCAAGGGTTAGATCTGTTCGTGTATTTAGACGATATAGTTATATATGCAAATACACTTGAAGAACATGATCGCAAATTCCGAATGTTAGTGGAAAGATTACGAAAAGCAGGATTGAAATTGCAGATTGGAAAATGCAAATTTTTAATGCGACGAGTTAATTACTTAGGTCATATAATAAGTGAAAATGGTCTAGAACCAGATCCGAAAAAAATTGAAGCAGTTAAGGAATTCCCAATACCAAAGTCGGTTAAAGCTGTACGTCAATTTTTAGGGTTATGTGGCTATTATCGTAGATTCATTAAAGATTTTGCGAAAATTGCTAAACCTTTGACCAGACTTTTGCAAAAAGATACGGTGTTTGAATGGACAGATAAAATCGAAAGTTCATTTTGTGAACTTAAAGAGTTGCTGTGTAGCGCTCCATTATTACAATTCCCAAATCTTGATAAAGATTACATAATCCGTACGGATGCCTCTGGAATTGCAATAGCAGGAATACTTTCACAAGGCACTATTGGATCAGACCAACCTATCGCATACACCTCTCGAGTACTACGTGGTCCGGAGTTGAATTACGAGGTTTACGAAAAGGAAGCGCTCGCAATTATTCACAGTATCAAAGCTTTCAAATCATATGTCTTCGGAAGGAAAATCACCATTATTACTGATCACCAACCTTTAGTTTGGTTTAAGTCAGCCGACCTCAATACCAGGGTTTTGAAATGGCGTTTCCAAATTTCTGAATATGACTATGAGATAATTTATCGCCCAGGTAAAGCCAATGCAACAGCCAATGCATTATCACGGAATCCGATAGAACCAATTAATGTAAAACATATACGTCAGAATGATAGAGAAATTAAAAATCTAGTTTACTCTTATATTAGCAAACAGACAGGTGAAGAGGTTCAATTCTTAATTGATTCTACTTCCACTACCAATATCATTAAATCCTGTTGTGTACCGGACGATATACCTATCCAAATGTCCAATATCTTACCCATGCAGAGTATTTTTGCTGAAGATGATTACCAAGAATGTGGATTTGTCAAGTTAACAATAGCCGGAAATGAAATAGTATTTTATGTTGTTGCAAATTGTCAAATGCCATATCACGGAATCATAGGTAAAAATTTTTTATACAACACCAGTACGAAGATAAACTATAATAACGATAGCATAAACGAAAGTGACGCAATAAAACCTGTTGTTAGTGATAGTAACATGCAAAAATATAGAAAAATTTATAATTTATATACGCCACTCGTTGACGAAGAACCTCCTTTATTGAATATATATAATCCAAAATACGGATGGACACAGTATATGATTAATAGTTTATCTGAACAGAGTCTAATAAAGGAAAAGTATGCTTTAGGAATTCATGATGAGACCGATCAAATTGACCTAATAGATATTAATGGTTTAACCCATAGAACTTTAGGATCAATAACACTGAAATTATTTGAGATGCCAATGAAATTCCATATTGTACAAAATGACTTTCCTGTAAATTGCAAAGGCATAATAGGATCTGATTTCCTTTTTTCTAGTAAAGTAAGTGTTAATTTTGACACGAAGACAATAAAAATAGGAGACACTTACATTCCTTTTAGAAGACGGAAAATACCAACATAAGAAAATGATAGTTACATATCTGTAATCACCGAAGCAGACAAAACACATCAAATTCCTGAAATAAATGTAGTTACTAGAAGGCAAAGACAACGATTGGAACAGTCATCTGACCCTTTGGTAGTTCAAAAGGAAACTGAAGAAATCAAACCAATAAAACGTCCACGCGGACGACCCCGGAAAATTCCTATTAATAATGATAATAAAAATATTATCCCACACCCAAGAACACCTCCCGTAGAGAAGTTGCCTATACCTGAATCTGTCGAAGTTGTTTCAAAACGTTACCCCGAAAGAACTCGAAATGAGATACTTGATTACGTAGAAAGTGATCTAGACGATAGTGAACTTGAAGGTGAGGCACAAGTTATACCCAAAATACCTGTGCGACCCAATCAGAATCTACCTCACAATATACAAGATCCCGATTCCGAAGAGGACTCAATGAATAATAGTTCGGATGAGTCCGTAAATAACGACAACGATACCGCTAATATAGTTAAGGTTAAAGAAGCCATACATGTGCGCAACGACAATGTTGCTTATTTTATAAGCAGCAATGGACAACCTTGTGATGAAGGCGCTCGAAAATTAATAGAAAATAAGAAAATTAATACTAAGGTAATCTTACAAGTGGGTGAAGTCTGAAAAGAAAAGAAAAAGAAGAATTATCATCAATTTGGACTCTGCATACGAGGAGACCGCCCAGAATCGTTAACTTATATTAAGGATTATATACACATTACTTTAAAAATATTAAGAGATTTACTAATTAATACTAATCAAACTGAAGTCTGTATTGCTCAGAGTAAACATGTAGAAAATTTAAGTTGGTTAGAAATAGAGTATTTATTAGATAGTGTCTTTAGAAATAGTGGAATAAAATTAATAATTTGATAGCGAAAAACTAACTATGCCATTCATAGGCAAATCGAAAAAAAAATACCCGTGTTTTTTCTTTTGCCATTTGCAATTGTTTATAAAAAGTTATTTAAACAAATTACCAAAAAAGTAATTTTTTTTTAAATCTGATTACGGGAATCGATTATACGGGAAAATACATGAAAAAAATATATGTAACATTTGTTTGTCGGACTTCAATTTGTCATGAAAAACAGCTATCAAACATTGATCATGTAATTCGATTGAATTTTTATTCAGTTTTATTTTCGTGATCTTCTCGGTGTCTTTTGCACATGGGTATAGCACATTTTTGGCAATAAAATTCAGTTTTCATCTCACACGATAATACCCCATGTTTTGTACATATGGTACTTTGTTTGATTACGTGTTTATGCAGTGATGTGTCACTTGATCTCTTTCGCTTGTTAGGACGTTGATTCGCAAATTTCTTGCACAATATCTTTTGAACCTTTAGGCAAGTCTGGGTGCAGTTTATTATAAATCACAGTAGTATTAGTCAATGAAGCCTGAATAAGTCGTAAGAACAGACACCATGTCCATTTTTTACTCCTAATTGAAGGCATCAAAGCATTGCAATGTTGATCATGCAAATCAATCCCACCCATGTTTTGGTTATAGGAAGAAAACGCTTGAGGGAAAAGAATGGACTTCTTAGCTTTTTCATACCATCGCTGCACTTCCATTTTCGGTTCATCCCCAAATTTTGTTGATAACATTGATACAGGTTTGGATCCATCACAGTTATATAATTCAGTTTGGAATTTTGATCGTTGAGAGCGATAGTTGTTCCCCACTCAGCTTTTTTTGGCATTTCAACTTTTTCTTTGACGAGGTTTTGTCTGATCGTCCCAGTTGCTGATAATCCAATTTTTTCCAAATGTAACATAAGATCTGGATTGGTGAAAAAATTATCAAAATACACATGATACTTAGTAAGATCTTCTTTATTAGTTACTTGTAGTAAAGACGATAGCAACTTGATAACAACGTTCGATCCCAAACAAACAGCAACTAGAGGGTTCATCGAGTCCTGCTTTACCTATATAAATATCCAATTCATATAAATATCCATCTGAGGAACAAAGGGCCCATAATTTTATTCCAAATCTATTGGCTTATTTCTAATACACTTTATTATGCCAAACTTCCCGAAATATTTTACCATTATCTCATCTATTGATAAGTTGTAATCAAAAAAACCGAACTGCAAATTATATTCACGAAAATAATGATATAAACTTCTAATTTTCCAGACTTTATCATTTTTATTTTCATCTTGAAGTTTATAAAATCTTATTTTCTTCTTGATTTCAATAAATTTATTTCTTGTCATAAGTTCAGAAATAACTGGACATTGTAAGATTTTTTTAGTTGACCAATAGTCACGGAGATTCTTTCTCGAATTAAAAATAGTAATCATTATGATAACAATAAATTTTTCTAGATCATTCATACTTAATTCAAAATTTTTTTCAGTTGTAGCTTATAAGATATAATTTTTCATTGAATTTGAGGTTGTTAAGGTAGGATGCTGTAGAAGTCGGTAGAGTGTTTGGTAAACTATATGATGGTCTCTCTTTCTCTCTCTTTCTCTCTCTCTCTCTCTATCCCTCTCTCTCACTCTCCTTCGATAGTAGGGCGCTTATGGTAGCTGAGTGTGGGCCCTTGGAGAGGGGGTAGCGTCTCTAGCTTGCTAGGCGCAGCCACCACCCACCCACCCTCTAACCCACCTCCTACCTTTCGTCTGACTACTCCCTCTTCAACCTACAGCGCCGAAATCGCTGCTTTCAGCGCCACCATAGTGCTTAAAAGCCGTGCTCGATTGGAAAAGAGCGCAGTCTTTCGAGACAGCCAGCTTCACTAGCTTTCTTAGCAGTGATAAGCAGTAGTAGTAGTAGTAGTACTAGTAGTAGTAGTAGTATTATTAGTTATCCCACGTGCATTTTCATTACAATGGCTTCTATTTCTTATTTGGAAAATACAGTACGCGATTTATGGAAAGCCTATTACAACTCAGATGCTAATAAGGATGATTTTATTAGATGGAAAAATATAATAATTACCGCTTTGCATTCTCTTGAAGAATATATGTTACGGCTCAACTTAAGTAGAGCAATACGACAGAGATGTCAAACATGCGCTACTCATTTGAATTCAATCGAAATTAATTTAAATAATTCCGTAAAAGTCGGAGGAAATGTTAATTCATTACGAGTCATTCCAAACCAAATTGAAGGGGACGGAGTTATTTGGCGTGAAATAAATTCAGCATTTGAAAAATGTATCATTACTGCATTCATAGCTAATCAAGAACATACAGATATAAAGTCATTCTTAAAAGCAGCAAGTAAACTATTACAATTACAAATACCAAAATATCTTTCAATTCATAATACTCTAAAAATAAATATAGAAATGTCAGCTTAATTTATCGTAATAAAAGATAATGTAGAGGACATTCAAGTAAAGTATTTCAACACCGAAAATGTTTCTATTTATAGAACGACAGATCTTAAATTATGGTTTAACCCATTAAGTCCCAAATGGACGATTTTTTTCTACTGTTTTCAATTGATTTTCTAAATGTGAAATCGATGTTAAAAAAAACTGGAAAAGGACATTTCCGACTTAAAATTGTCTGTACTTTCGATATACGTTGTCAGAATTTTGAAAAAATGCATATTAACAAATTTATAATTGTTTATTTAACAAAAAATGCGAAATTTTGAGTGGTAAAAATTTTTAAATCCTTGTTTTCGAGTTGAATCTAAATGTAGATCTTTATGAATAGCACATAAAAGGCGTCCTCGCATCCTGGACTTTAAGTTATAGTGGTAGGTTTTTTGAAATTCAACATGGCGGCATCCAATATGGCGGTTCAAAGAAGGACATTTTTTGCTACTTTGCGTAATTTTTTGAAAAATAATATTTTTTTACCAATATTTATGAAACTTCGTATATATGGGTTTTTTGGGCCGCTGATTACGAATTAATTATCAGATTTTTAAAATTCAAGTTGGCGGATCCAATATGGCGGTTGAAAAATGAAAAATGATGGCAAGATGACAGATTCAATATGGCGTCGAAAAATTCGAAAATTTTCTCAGGTTATAGTCAGTTTTTGAGAATTTTCCGGGTTTTAAATGTTTTATCGAAATAAAGTACGTTACTTAGCCGTCAAAAAATATGCCGTTGCCCAGCTCTCACCACGAAGAGGCGAACGCAACACAGGGAGCCTTTTTTTAAATTTTTTTATTTATTTTTTTTTTATTTATTTTTATTTTTTTATTTATTTATTTATTTTTTTATTTCCTTTTTTTTATTTTTATTTTTAAATATTTCGTAATTTTTTATTGCGATCAGAAGTTTTATAAAATATGGAATATAATAATTCTAGTAGTCAAAAGCTTGAAAATATTGATCAATCTTGCTTTTGACCATATTTTTAACCGACAATTCAAAACTTTGAAAACTGTTAGTATATACATGACATAAGCTCAAGACACCCTTATACATGCATTTTCTTAGGTTAGAATATTGTTACAGGATAGAAAACTTTGAATTAGCTATGTAAAGTTTTAAAAATTTGCCTATGAATTGTTAATCAGTGATTTAAAAGACCTACAAGTACCAATTTTTATAAAAAATGAGACAATTTTTAAATTTTTAGCCGCCATAATGAATCCGCCATCTTGAATATTAAAAATCCGATAATTAATTCGTAATCAGCGACCCAAAAAACCCCTGTACACGAAGTTTCATAAATATTGGTAAAAAAATATTATTTTTCAAAAAATTACGCAAAGTAGCAAAAAATGTCCTTCTTTGAACCGCCATATTGGATGCCGCCATGTTGAATTTCGAAAAACCTACCACTATAACTTAAAGTCCAGGATGCGAGGACGTCTTTTATGTGCTATTTATTAAGATCTACATTTAGATTCAACTCGAAAACAAGGATTTCAAAATTTTTACCACTCAAAATTTCGCATTTTTTGTTAAATAAACAATTATAAATTTGTTAATATGCATTTTTTCAGAATTCTGACACCGTATATCGAAAGTACAGACAATTTTACGTCAGAAATGTCCTTTTTCGATTTTTTTTAACATCGATTTCACATTTAGAAAATCAATTGAAAACAGTAGAAAAAAATCGTCCATTTGGGACGTAATGGGTTAAAGAAAATATTGAAGATGTTATACTTAAAAATTTAGAAGAATTTCAAGAAAAAGATTCCGGTTGGACATTAAAAACTATCATCGGTATTACTGTTAATATAAATAAATTTAATCCTTTCAAACCTGGCTCATATATTCAACTACCAAAACAAATAGCAGATAAAAAAGCAATTATCAACGTTCAAAATACAGATAATGAATGTTTTAAATGGGCTATGCTTGCCTGTCTTCATCCAGCTAGATTTCATAGCGAAAGAGTTCAAAATTATATGCCCTTTGCGAATGAATTGAAATTCGATGATATAAACTTTCCTGTTGAGGTAAAGAATATTCCTAAATTTGAAAAATTAAATAGTATTTCAATAAATCTATATATACTAAAAAAATACGGTTTGAAATTCGAAGTCTCACCATATTATATATCAACTTTAAAACAAGATAAGCATGTAAATCTTTTGTTACTACAAAGCGATTATATTGATGAGAATGAAACAGAAAAATCTAATAGATCAAATAACAGTGATAATTTCAAATTAAAATTCCACTATGTATGGATTAAAAACTTATCTGCTCTTGTTAGAAGTCAAGTAACGAAACATACTGCACAAATTTATCTCTGTGAACGCTGTCTCCACTATTTTAATAATAAAGAAAAATTGAATATTCATGAGACTGATTGTTCAAAATTAAATAAATATAGAGTTAATCTACCTAATTTTCCTCTTCTGAAATTTAATCATTATGATCGAAAAGAAATGGTTCCGTTTATTATCTATGCTGATTTAGAGTGCTTATTGAAACCAGTAAATAACGGACGATCCTTCCAAGATCATGAAGCCTTTAGTGTGGGGCTTTATATAAAATGTAGTTATGATGATTCCAAATCAGTCTTTAAGATGTATAGAAAAAAACTGAATGAAGAACAATCACCCGCACAATAGATTATCAAACAATTTCAGATTTTGTTAGATGAAATGAATCAAATATATAAGAATGCAATAGAAATGAATCTTTCATGGCGTAATCAAATGGATTTCAAGATGAGCAAAATGTGTCATATTTGTAGAAAATATTTTCAACCTGATGAAACAAGAGTCAGAGATCATTGTCATTTGACGGGTCGATTTAGAGGTGCTGCTTTTAGCTGAAAACAAGGAAAGATATATAGCTTTTACAAAACACGTGCACGGTAGTACTATAAATTTTCGATTTATTGATTCGTTTCGTTTTATGCCATCATCTCTCGAAAAACTATCTTCATACTTAACCAAACTAAATATCGTAGAGCATGAATTCAAGATAGATAAATATACAAAAACACAAATAGAATAATTGAAGAGAAAAGGCGTTTTTCCATATGAGTATGTTAACAGTTTTGAAAGATTAAAACAGACTCAATTACCACCTATCGAAGATTTTCATAGTTAATTGATAGATAGCAACATATCTGTAGCTGACTATGAGCATGCTCAAAAAGTGTGTAATGCATTTGACATTATTGATTTAGGACAGTATTCTGATTTATATTTAAAAAATGACGTATTACTCTTAGCCGATATTTTTGAAAATTTTCGTAAAACTTGTATGGACGCGTATCAACTCAACCCAGCACACTATTATACTACTTCTGGATTAACATGGGATGCTATGTTAAAGTGTACAAAAATTGAGCTAGAACTTTTAACCGATATAGACATGGTTTTATTCATCCAAAAAGGCATTCGAGGAGGTATTAGTCAATACTGTAATAGATACTCAAAAGCTAATAATCGATATGTGGGCTCAGAATATAATGAAAAAGAACCTAGCAAGACATTGATGTACTTTGACGTTAACAATTTA